GCCTGTGATATCGCGGAAAATAAAGGGTAATTTAAACCCTTCTCATCTTGTCGTCTCTTCTGCACTCCATAGGACATAGTTTGTAGTCAAACTCACTATCTAGTCAGGACACGTCATGTTCCCAAGCAGATTAGGAGAAATACAAGTCCTGATACGTTAAGCTAGCGGGGGAAGCGGGCAAACATTTCTACAACGATTCAACACTTATGAATAAAATTTTTTTTTTTTTTTTTTTTTTTTTTTTTTGTGAGGTATTGAGGTATTTTATTTTAATTATTCTGATTGAAGCATTTACTATGACTTCTCCTTAACATAATGTAAATTAGGTTTGTGTGTATTTAAGCTGAGAGTTTCGGAGGTTTGAATTAGAGCTTTTGGCAATCGCATCATTCTCTTAGTTATTCTAGCCAGCTGAGCTTAAATTTATATTCCAGCTTTAACGTTTTGTTAGCCTGCGTTTGAAAATACGTGCCAGTAAAATTCTGAACCAGCTTAACCACCTCGGTATTACGATTTCCGCTAAGAAATTTCAAAGTTCCTCAGAATGTCATGAATAAATGATATTTTCTCGATCATAATTCCAAAATGACCTTCTCACTTTCTACCCTGACTCCTTTTTCTTCCAATATACATCAGATTGATAGGATTTGGCAGACATTTTCATGAGTAACGAATGGGAAAGCTATCCTTCGATACGGAATTTTAAGTCCGTAATCCTTGGAGGGTTAATTTAGTCTTTTCTTCATGTGCAGTCTCCGACTACGTTACCGGGATCTGAAATTTAGCTTTTGTTATGCTAATTTAAGTATTCGCAAAGTAGTGGAGTTGGTTGTAGCACAAACTGTGCCTGTTCTGCTCAGTTTAAGATTAAATAAAAAGGTTATTTTAATCTTCTTTAGTATTTGTTAGTTGTTTAAGACCAGCGATAACTCGCTATCAATCTAGCAGGATCTGCAGGATTTTAGCTTCCAGTTACAACAGAAACTCTAAAATTTTCGCTTTGTATATAGTACATCAGAAAACGAAAATTTGCATACATTGCAGATATTTATAAATTATTATTCGCTAAAGCTTTATAAAATTTCCATATCATTTTGAGAAGCAGCATTTCTATAGAATTTTGTTCTGTGAAAGCTTTAGGAAATTTTTATAAAATTTCTATATTCTATAAAATTGTGTTCTATTTTATATTCCAATTTCTATTAAATTTCTGTATTTCTATAGGGAAAATTTTCTATAAAAGATAAGGAACATTTCTGTAGAGGACTTCTACGGAGGATTTGTACAGTTCTACAAGAATTTGTATACAGCCTACTAGCCTCTATAAAAAATTTTCGTTAAGGGCAGCTCGTATCATTTCATGCGTCCAGCTAGCAATTAATAACAACAGAGATAAAGAACTGCGGTTATTGCTTTTAAATGGCTTAGTTTGTTAATCACTAACAGGCACGCTAATGTTTTATGTTTATTAAACTATTATTTTATTATTTTTAGCTTTATCCTTACGAAAGGTTTTACACAGGGTCTACAGAAAGTCCTATAGAAATTCCTATGGAACTTTATAAGTAATCTTCTACAGAAATGTTTCTCTATGAAATTCTAAAACAAACTTATAAATCTTTCGCAGTATAAAATTCTTTAGAGATGTTGCTTTGCAAAATCATGTAAATTTTACAAAGCATTCATAGAGTGGTATTCTATAGAAGGTTGCAAAATTTTCAAACTTTAATCAAATAAAATTTTTAGTTTCCCGTGTGTTATATGAGAGCAGAGATACATATAGAAGAGCAAATAAATACATTTTATTCATAATTATTTTCGAATGGAAATTGTTGCCCTATTTCAGTTAGCTCAAAGTGTTTAGCTTCTAAATTTCTGTAAATTGTTTTGTACAGTATTTCTTATATAATGCAAAAATTAATTTTTTAAAAGCGTAAAATCAGTTTAAAATCCTTCCAAAATTTAGGCTAAAAATCGCTCGAAAATTTAGACTAAAAAATTCTATTCAAAAGTGAAAATTTGATTCATTGTTTGTAACCCCAAAAAGAAAATTTTGCTGATTTTATAACACAATAAATAAAGGTAATAAAGGAGACTTATCCCAGATTTTACCTATTATAAATTCACTTGATCGATTACTTTTGAAACAGTATTACTTTTGAAGCAGAATCTAACAATATCCTTCTCTACATTGATATTCTTATAATCCTCAAAGAATTTGATTTCAATTCAAATACCTTAAGCAAACCCTTTTCCTTAAACCTTACTTACCTTAAACCCTTTTTTGTTCGTTGCCTTAAACCATTTTCTGTTCGTTTACCTTAAACCATTTTCTGTTCATTTGCCTCGAATATACTAAGTCATGTCACTCGGCTAAGCAAAAAATTGCTTCTTTTTACTATTAGGTATTTTACGCTGTCAGAATTTGTTCCTCAGAATCTTTGCTTGTTAATGATTTCAATTATTGGAGATCATTTGCCACTGACTGTGGATTTTCTCCCGTGGTCATTGATAAAAACCTTTAAAAAATTTTCATCTTTCCAGAACCAATATTAATAACCTTGTCATGCTTTTATTTCATCCTTCAGTCAGTTACAAAAATTGCACGAATTCTTCAGAATTTAAATTTTTTAAATCATTTTCTCGCTTATCAATAAAATCGATGGTTCGATTCTTAAAATTCCATTTCTGACTTTTAAATCGTGAGGAATTTATGGTACATCTTGTCAATGTGATTTGAGACATATCGGCCAAAATAAAAGCGACTTTAAGTTTTGCATCAAGGACACAAATTGCATTTTCGAAAAGGCGAAACTAACAAGTCTTCGAATAGTTAATCATAGTTGGAAGTTTAATCACAATTCTGACATTGGGGTCTGCAAAATACACCCTTAGGAGGAAAAAAAAAAAAAAAAAGAACGCACCATGACGCACCGAGAAGATATAAAGAAAATTGGACACAAATTGATATGCATATACAGGTTTTGACGGAAAATGCAAAATTTTACATTTTGGCTGCCAGTGAATGAACGGTTGTCGGATATTTAAGAGGAGAAATTACGATTCCAGGTCATAAATTTTTCACGAATTTCATTCCGTGTACTCTGGTATACAGTAACTATGCCTCGCATATAGGTACGCGAACGATATGCGTAGATGTCAGAATTTGAGAGAGGTCATGTAGTTGGCTCAAAGAAGCCGGTTGGCCTTATCGGCGAATAGCTAGACATTTGAGCAGGAGCGATGCCACTATTAGACGATGTTGGCAGGAAGGGGTGAACCGTGGTCGCACACAGCATCAAGAAGGAAGCGGTAAACCTAGAGAAACGACAGAACGTGAAGACTGAGCAATCGTCAGAGCGGCACTCACAGCCCCAGATGCATCATTATCATCGATTGTACGCACAACTAGTGCTTCAGTGACCTCAAGGACCATTCATAGACGGCTCACAGAAAGGGGGCTGAGGTCACAGCGCCCCTTGTGCCGACTACCATTGACCTCTGTACAACGTCAAGCCCGTTTGCTGTGGTGTCGGGCTTATTCGCACTGGAATGTCACTGACTGGAGTAGAATAGTCTTCAGCAATGAGTCCCGCTTTGAACTGAGCCCCGATGACCAGCGAAGGTGAGTCTGGAGACGCCCCGAACAGCGGTGTGATACTAACCTGACTGTCTTCCAGTAGAAAGGCCGGCAACCAGGAGTGATGGTCTAGGGTGCCATTTCCTTTCATAGTAGGACCCCTTTGTTTGTCATTTGTTGCAACCTTACAGAAGAGCGGTACGTCGACGAAGTTCTAAGACCCGTTGTGTTGCCCTTCATGTCACACCACCCTGGGCTTACATTTTAGCAAAATAATGCCCTCCCCCCTTGCACATGTTTCTACTGCTTGCCTTAGTGCTTGCCGAACATTACCTTGGCCAGCATGGTCGCCGGATCTCTCTAATATTGAGCACGTTTGGAGCATTATGGGCAGGGCCCTCAACCAGCTCGAGATGTTGACGATCTAACTCGCCAGTTGGACAGAATTTGGCACGATATCCCTCAGAAGGACATCCGCAACCTCTATCAATCGATGCCAAGCCCAATAACTGCTTACAGAAGGGTCAGAGGTGGACAAACGCGTTACTGACTTTTTCACTTTGTGAAGCTCTATCACTTCAATAAATCATCCAATTTTTCTCAAACTGTAATCATTTTTTTTTTCTGTACATGTACATCACTTCTGCCAATTTTAGTCCCATTCGGATAACTCCTTCTTGGTGCGCAGTTTTTTTTTTTTTTTATCCTGTCTAAGAGTGTCTTTATCCAAAAAAGTTTCTTGCATTAGTGAACTTGATTTTTTTGAACTTTCCATATTCATAAAGATTTATTTTATTTAGTTAATGATTTTAATTCCAATCCAGCTCTTCATAATAATCTTAAAATTTTATTGACTTCATTTAAAATTTTCGTTACTGTTTTTTGCCGATACATGACGTAATTTTGTCGGTCGGATTACTCCTTTTTTATATAAATACAACCGTGGCTTTCCCTTCGTTGCAGATTTCTTTGCTGCGGACGTCTGCCTTCGAAATCGATAGAGTATTGACTAATATTTAAGCTAAATATAAGGTCGTTGTTTTGCCTAATTTTATGATCTACATATATATCTAGAATCTCTGTACGTAAATATATGGAAACTATATTTAAAATTTTATGGAACTCTATAGATGATCTCAAGTTTAAGGTACAGAACACTGGACAATAATTCTAAAGGATTCCGCAGAAATATTTCTTACAGAATTCTGTAAGTCATTTTCGTGAAGAAAGGCTCTAAATAGACCAAGCCAAGCGTACCGCCATACATAAAAAGTTTTAAAATGATTTTTTTTTTTTTTTAAGAAAACTTACTTTTATTACATACACCTACAAAATGATATAAAAATTGGAATTAAGCTTTTTATACCCTAGAGTTATTTTTTTCTATCAAATAATTTTTGTTTTTGTTTTTGTTTTATAGGTGTCCTGCGTGCAAAAGATTAGCACCTGAGTGGTCCAAGACAGCTGAAAATTTAAAGGTTCATACAATTTTTATGAAATATAATTTGTTATAATTTAAATATAAATTTAATAAATGCCATATTTTTTTTTTTTCCTTTGAGAACATACAGACTCCCCGTGCACCACATATGTACAACACGGGGCTTACAGAAGTAAGTTAACTAGAACATTAGAGGTTACATGTATAAATAAACATTAAAAATTACATGCATAAATAAAGCGAACAAAAGCAGAGAACAGCAGTCTGGACTTCACGAAAACAGATAAGTTCACTGGCCAAGTCCCTCCGAACATTTTCAAATTGTTCTGTCCAAGCATAATCTAGGGCCATCAATGTAGGGCACGAGAAACTCAAATGTTCCACATTCCTGAGGTACTCCTGTTTGAACATTCACATAAAATTGTTTGGTCGTAGATTCAGAACGAAACAGGATAACTTGCAAATTTAACCGGTGACCAGATAACAAACTGAGAAACTTTAAAATTAATACGAGACGTAAAGACTCGGAATGCAGTCTATGGTAAATAGAAGGAAAGGAACTTTTTGGTGACGTCAGCATTACAAGATGAACGTATATTCCTCATTCCACTTAGCTAAAATCTTTTTATAATGAAAAGGACTTCCAATAAGCTCTTTGGAATGGCTAATGTTGATACAATGGGTAAATTTAAGGCATCTTTAGCTAAGAAATCAGCTCTTTCATTTCCGTAGAAACCATGATGAGCACGCACATAAGCAAAGCAGATATCAATACCTCTAATTCTAAGGGAACTAACAGTTACTAGGGTTTCGATAACTAATTATCGCAGCTGGTAATACTGTTCAAAAGTTGAAGAGAAGAAAGAGAATCAGAACAAATAAGGTCTTTGAGGATGTTGTCCCATGATCCTGGATCCATTTGACGGCAAGATAAATGGCACAGAAGTTCTGCTTGAAAACTGTACATTCATTCCGTATACGGTGACTAAGAAAACAAATCTCGGAATGGCCTTCAAAAAGAACAAATGCAAGGCCAACCTTGTTGTTCATCTTGCTGCCATCTGTAAAGAAAACCATATGAAAACTTATTTCAGCAGTCTCTTTATAATCGCAGAAATTTATGGGTTCTAAAGAAGCGGGATGAGGAAGATCAGTGAAGGGGACAATTCCATTAATACAGTCTTCTGAAGCATGAGTTGCCAATGGCTCAAAAATATTATTCTTATATGCAATTTCAAAATCAATAGGCGGAACTCCTGCAAGAACAAAAGTAGCCTCACAGCTTAAGGTTCTATAACCACTAATAATACGAAGAAGAATTCTCCGTTGAATCTTTCTTAAATTTCTTTTGTTAACCTTCTTGGCAAGAACATGTCCCCAAGCACGACAGCCGTATGAAATGAAAGGTACAATACACTGCTTATACATGAGTTTCTTAACATCGTAGCTTACTCCAAAAGTATTTTTGGCAATTCGGTGAAAGCCATTAATAATTTTTTCACATTTAGCAGAAAGGAATTCAATGTGCTTTTTCCATGTTAATTTTTGGTCAAGAATGACACCAAGATATTTAACATTTTCTACAAATTCCAAAGGAGAATTATCGAGCATCAAAGAAGCAATATTTTGTTCATCAAACGTACTGGGAACAAGCATAGCTTTACTTTTTGTAGGATTAAAGGTGAGTTTATGAGAAATCGCCCAACTGGAGACAAAATCTAGAACTTCTTGTGCTCTCAAAAGAATGTTATTCAAAATCCTTCCTTGGAAAATTAATAGTAAGTCGTCTGCAAACGCAATTTTTAAACAACCGTCGAGATGACTTAAAAGATCATTTATGATTATGTTCCAAAGAGTAGGTCCGGATACAGAGCCTTGAGGACAGCCTTTTTCTAGAGAATAAACCTTAGCTTCGTTCCCAAGCTGAAGCTCAGCAGTCCTCTCGTTCAAGAAGCTTTTAAGAAGGTTATAGATATTATGTGGTATACCGGCATCTTTTAAAATTTTTAAGATAGATGGCCACCAAGCATTATCAAAAGCTCCTTGAAATCCAGGAAAATAAGAAGTGTAATATACTTCATTTTCTTTGCACACTGCAAGATATTACAAAGGCGAATAATGGCGTCTTCAGCGGACTTCCGAGGAGTAAATCCGAACTGAGAATTATTATAAAAGCATTTTTGTCTCAAATACCAATTTATTCTTTTAATGAAGAGAGTTTCAAGACATTTTCCCAAGGTAGGCAAAAGACTAATGCATCTAATATTATCAAGATAAGGGGTTCTTGTATCTAACGTTTTAGGAATCAAAACAACCCGAGCTCTCTTCCATTGTGCTGGAAAAGCTGCTAATTGTAAACAAAGGTTGAAAAGTCTGTGTAGAAATGTGCTATCCACCGCATGAAAGTGCTGTACCATTTCATTAGAAAGAGAGTCAAGCCCAGGTGATTTGTTTTTCTTGAGATTTTTAATAACACTGTAACTTCTGAAGTAGAGAACGGACAGTCCATAAAAGAATATAAGGTCCATCAGACTCAGTGCGCATAGTTCTATGAGAATTTCTATCATCACGCGCATTATCTCTTGGGAAATTCTTTGTCATTATAGCAACAATTGTATCACTCAAACTCGAAGTAACACTGCCATCCGGGAGTTTAATTCCCGAAATCTCAATCCTTTTCGCAAAATTGGTCCTTAACCCCATACTTATATATAGATTTCCAGACATCGTGAACATTAATAGTTGAGAGAAAATTTCTCCACGACTCAAGCTTGGCATTAGCTAATTTAGCCTTATAATTATGCCGCAATTCGAAATATTTTAATTTTATAAATATTTTTAAGAAGACAGTTTCTTTCTCTGGAATCTACGCCTAGCAGCATTTACATGCTTTCTATAACAATCAATTTCCTTAGACCACCAAGGGACCCCATTCTTCTTACTTTTCTTCATCGGAATTGAAAGTAAAGCACAATTAAAAACAACGGTAGAAGTCTCTGTTTACAACATTTTCTAATGCAATACAATCAGAGCAACTGTTAAGAAGGATATTCAAGTCACACAATTCTCTCTTACAAAGTCCAGTAAATAAAAACCAGTTCGCTCTTTTTAAATTAAAAGTACACAAATTAGAAGATAAAATCCGACGGCATAAAACAAGTTCAAAGATAATCATTTTATGGTCAGAAAGAGAATCTTCCTCAGAGATATCCCAACCTTGAACGTATGGCAGCAGTCCTAAGCTACAAAGCGTAAAGTCAATATAACTCGAGCCTTGCGTGGAACAGAAAGTAGGTCCGCGATTTTCATTAAGTAGAAACAAATGATTCGCACTAATAAAATCACTAAGTTTCGTTCCTCTAGCATCAGTAATAGGACTATGCCAAATCGCTGATTTGCTATTCGAATCCATACCACATAAAAAATTGCATGGTTTCTTCATCGTTAAAATTTGTGAAATTTTTAATAGTTCTATGTCAATATTAGTTTGGGGCTCGAAATAAGCGGAACAAATAGTCAAGTCAGATCCGTTGATTTTTATATCTAAAACAACAGTATTATAAACTGTATGATTTAAGTCTAAAAAAGGAGAAAGATTCTGGTTGCGAACAATAACAGCAGACTTGACAACCTCTGCTTCGGAATCATAGTAAACTCTATATTTTATTGGAAAGCCAGGAAGAACACCTTTATAAAAGTGCGGCTCCTGAATCAGTGCGACATCCGTGTCATTTGCCTCCATATATAAAATAAGTTGCTGAGTAGCAAGTTTTGATTTGTGCAAGTTTATTTGTACAAAAGAAACAGACAAATTGTCGGACTTACCCATAATAAATTTTTGAAGCTGCAAGATTCATCATAAATGTATGGCTGGGGCAAGTTCCAGAAAATGGCTTATGATTTACATCAACTTTCTTAGTTGCATTTTTCGTCTTTTTATTAATCTTATGCAATTAATACACACTTTCACTTCTTTTTTATTATCACATTCTGAACTCTTATGCTCACCAGGAGCAGCAATAACAAGCCAAGGGATTTCTGCAATCAAGACTTCTGTGGTAGCCTAAACATTTAAAACATCTATTTAAAACAACAAAATCTTCAGCTTTACACATATTCCACATCACTTTAATGCCATATTGCAGTTGATTGTTACATGCAGATCGGTAAATTAAATTGTAAAATATATTAATGTTAATAAGAAAATGATAACAAAAAATTTCTTTGAGATATAAATAGCGTTTCGCGTCCAATATTAAAATTCTGCGAAAAATGGAATTGCTGTGGTTGAGAATAATTATTAAAAATGATCCTAAAACTGAACTGCTGAAAATTGAAATAGCTTAATTTAGGTAACTTGCATCTTGAAAAAATATATGTATTATGCATTTTTTGCGCTGTTTCCAAATATGCATATTATGCAGTGTTTGAACTTTCATCTCCAAAGTAAATTCTGCATAACAGTATTAATATACAGTATGTACAGTATTAATATAGTAATATAGTATGTAATTTGTAAATTGCACTGTATTAGAATATAAGAGTCTATCATAATATTGTTACTAATATTATAATTCTATCATACCGCTATATATTAGTACTTGTACTGGTGCATCATTATTTTGTTATTACTAAATATTTTTAAGTGCTTATGTTATGAATTGTATTATATATTACACAGTATAATTTTTATTTTTTGTATATGTGTATTTCCACTCATTTGTTTTCAAATGTGTACAACAGTGTGAAATATTGTAGTATTTCGAGAATCCACAAAAGAATAGCATTCTTTTTAAACAAAACCAAAAGAACAGCACATTTACTACCCCTACAGTTCATATTTTATATTTAACATGTATTTATTTATGTATACCACACTGGAGGTATGTATGTACGTAGGTAGATAGGTATGTATGAACATATGTAGGTTTGTATATATTTATGTATGTATGTATGTATGTACACTGCGCAAACAAAAAATGAGACAGTTCTGTATCTCCCGTTCTACTGGGTCGATTGACGAAATTCAAATTGTGTTTTCTGTGTCTCGAAAGCGCGACTTAGGACATATATTAGATTTATATATAGCATTATTCTAACATAGATATTTTGACACAAAATCGGACTTTTTCGGAAATAGCGTGCCAATTGTTTTCGATATTTCGATTCTACGACTCAAATTATGCCTAAATATTAAATTTTGTAAAATTTGGTGCGAAATATACAGAGAAATTCAACTTGGCGAAATGTTTTCAGTTTGTGCCAGGAATAATTTACTTGGCGAACATCTTAATTTATAGCAACCTAATTTTCTTGCCCTGTTTTGCATTGCAGACGAGAGGGAAAAAAATCATCTTTCACACTTTCAAATAATTTTAACCAAGTGCGTAAACCACATTTGGCGTTATTATCGCTCAGAAAAAAAGATGCCAAATTTCATAACGCGCCAATATGTAATTTCATGTATATCTTAGAAAATTTCGAATAAAAAACTGTAAATTTTTGCAGGTGTGCCTAGAAATACATCTACTTTTAGTGAATGTTAAAAATTTATAAATAAAAACATTTTTTCGAAAAATTTATAAAATATAATAAAAAATGCAAATTTTAAAAATAAATCATAAAAAACGTGAGAATTATATTTGGATTAAGCCTAAATTTCGAATTCTGGAAGAAAGAATCAAGTGAGCTTAATAAAAAAAGAGATATTAATAAATATATATTCAATTCAATTAACTTGTAGGGTTTATATTTATTTTAACTAACATTTATTTTAAGTTTAAACTATCTTTCCTGTCAAGCCTTACTTTCCCCTGGAACTGCCAATGCCAGAGTATGTAAATTTTTAGTAGAACGCGCAAGGATTCAAATTATCAGCGGAAGTATTCTGAGTTAAATAGAAAGGAAACGAGTTCAAGGTGTGCTGTTCTTACTTCACGAGCGCGGAGGGAGTTAGCTAGAAATTGAAGAACCACGCGTTTCGGCTTGTGTGCTTGCCTAGGCGTAATATTCAGAGTTTGCTGAATTATCAGCGGTATTGTAGAACGCGGTGAGGTCAGTTACGTTTAGAGAGCATCGTAGTTAGCCTCTTGTTATTATCTCTTTTTAGGTTCTTATTTTTATTTTACCGCCGGGTCGGAGTAGTTTGAGAGCGTCAAGAGCACGCATTTGTAATTTCTAAAGTTGAATAAAAAGGGACTTAAACCCTTCTCAAGACTCTGTCTAATTTACAGTTTCAGCAGTCACCACTTTGTTGCGTGCAGGTTGGAGGCGCGCAACTTTACAAACTAGAGGAGCTAAAATTTTGAGACCTAATTTTTTAAAAACTACTGGTGCGATTTTTACAAAACTTGGCAGTTTGGCATAATTTGAGTCATAGAATCGAAATATGGAAGAACATTAGCATGTCATTTCAGAAAACGTCCAATTTTGTGTCAAAATTCCTATGTTAGAATAATTGCTATATATAAATCTAATATATATTCTAAGTCGGGCTTTCGAGACATGAAAAACGCAATTTGAATTTCATCAATTGGCCTAGTAGAACGGGAGATATAGAAGTGTCCCATTTTTTTAAAAATTTTTTGCGCAGTTTTTCTATGGAAACAGGTATGTAGGTAGATAGATAAAGGTATACAGGTATGTAGGCATATCTGCAATGTAGGGACGTACGTTTGTATATTGGCGTGTATTTAGGTATATAGCTACGTAGGTGCCTTCCCAACCAGAATAGTGGTTAGCAACCCTGACTGCCGTACCGAAGGGCCCAGGTGCGAATCCAGAGAAGGCGCGGATCTTTGTAAATGTATAGTGTCCGTGAGGCATGGGTGCACTCTAAATATGCGGCGAGCCTAAAGTCCTCTCGAGAGGTTGTGGTAGGGAAAGAGGGGCGAGAAACTCTCGGACTCATCCCCTCTCGAGATGCTCTCCATCAAATTTGGGAGCGGAACTGAGCTAAATTGCATTGTCACCTGTAAGGTGCTGAAGGCTGTTGTCAACGACAGACGCAGTCTTGCACTCCTTGCAACGATGAATTTTGTAGGCTTGTTCTGATGTTACTGTCAGACACGGAAGATAAGTCACAACAGCAACTATGTAGGTATGTGTATATATATAAGTATGTATACAGGTACGCATTTAGGTATCTAGCAGTGTTTTTGATAGGCAAGTTTCTATGAAGTTATTTATATAGTTATATAAGTCTGTATGTTTAGGTATATATTTAGGTAGGTATGTATAGGTATGTATTTAAGTATGTAAAAGGTAAACAGGTTTATATGCAGGTATGCAGGTATAATAGTATGCATGTATGTATGTATGTCGGTACCTGAAATTAGCGATTAACAAGAAATGTGTCGCAACTGCCCGAAATAAAATATTTTTTTTTTTTTATTATAACTAGCCAGTGTATTGCCATTTGTTAAAGTATAAGATATTTAATTTTCCTTTTACATTTAATCTGTCTGTTACTGACTATCAGACTGAGTGATTTAAATGCAACAGAAATTATGCTGGTCGTTCACTTTAAAATCATTATATATATTTTTTCTTATTTATACGACAATTTTCATCTTAGAAAAAGTAGTTCTTTAGACAAATAAAATCTTATTTATTCCTTTTTCTTTCAGAGTGAAATAAGAGTAGGAGCTGTGAATATACCATATTATCCAGATCTTAGAGCTCGATATCAAATTTGGGGTTTTCCAACAATATTAATTTTTGCAGGAGATAAGACCAAACCATACACGTACAAAGGTCCTCAATCTGCGGATGCTATGAGTTATTATTTTCGCCAAATTGCCTTAGCCCAGACATAAGAGGTCTAATACACGAAGCGACGAATGAAAAATATTCGACACAGAACGTGCGAAAATTCATCACATAGGTAATGTGAAGTTTATTGATATATGTAAAAATAAAACCTGGAAAATTTTATTCCTCTGTTTTGCTGTGTTGAGCTAAACTAAAGCATTTTGTTTAATAAACATAACTAAAGCATTTTGAGTCCACTAACCTCTGTTTAACACAACCCCATTGAAGACTCTTAAGTCATATTACAATCATAAGAATCATAACTATAAATCTTTATTTAACAAGTGAGAGAGTTTTGATTAACTTAAGCAGCACATAAATTAAATTAATAATCTTCTCAGACATTTAAAATTGGAGTGTGAAAAAATAACTTACATAGATTCTTCATCAGTCATAAATATCTTATCAGGAATATATCCCAAGATGAAAGGTAACATGGCTGCAAGAGAAAAACTGAGTGACTGACCCTTTGACTTAGGTGCAGGACAGGTAGCTAAACGGCACAGGCAGGATCCTTTTATGGCTTGGCGCACTTTTGTTTTCTGCTTCCCAGTTTTATAATGCAAAAGAGACTCTAATTTATTCTAACGTGTTTTCATTTTTCATTGCATTCATTTTCATTTATATTTTCCTCGTTGTATTTTTTTCAAAACATCATGTTTAGAATCTTAATAATTACATATATTTACACAAAAGACTTCTAATAATTACAATTTAGGCTGACTTCATACTAACATTGAGAATTATATTTGTTTTACGCAAGAAAAAAACTAGTTTGAATGGAGTCAATTAGGCAAATTATCAAAATCCTTCGTACAGCAGACGTCGCTTAAGGTGATCACGGTTATCATTCGGATATTGTTATCAAGTTGCCAAAATTCCCTCCCCGTTTGTATGCGAAAATATGGAAAATACATTGCTTATTAGGATCAAGAATTCGGTCAGAGATACCTCGAGTTAAACTTGATCCTTCTTCCATAATTAGTAGTCTGATTTTTTGGTGTTTGGTTGGCCGGCACAGGTATTTCAACTATGGTGTCTGATGTATTTACTGTAGGAGTCTGCTCAGGAACAGAAACTGATGCTGGAGTATCTTAGACTAAACGTGCTGACTTCAGGCGATCAGTGCCAGTGACCGATTCTCCTTCATAATAAGAAGTATAAAATTTTCCTTAACTCTTTTTATTTACTTTAAATGGGCAATCATAAAGTGGTGGTTTCACTGCATCATGGCTCACAAACATGTGAGTGTACAAATGTAAATCCGCGTGCAGGAAATATTTATTGTTGCCATGAGATGATGTGAATATTGATGCCATTTCTCTTATTGCCTCACGCAACTTCTGTATAAATGAAATCGGGTCAACAGAATTAGAAACTTGGGTGGGCTGCAAAAATTCTGTTGGAAGAAGAATAGTAGTTTATAGTGTTGCGAGGCCCCAACTTGTCAGCAACAGTGGTAGTGACTGCTATGAACTGTAAATTACACAAACTAGTAAGAAGGGTTTAAATCCCTTTTTTATTCCATTTAAGAAATAACAGCTGTTGTAGCTGCGTTCACTTGACGCTCACAAACTACGCCGACCCGGCGGTTTAACAAAACAGAAATGTGAAACTAAAAATAAATGACAGGATGAATAAATAACGAGATCACTACCTACGAGGCTCTAAAATCGTAACTAACTTAACCGCGTTCTAAGATACAGCTGAGATTCAGCAAACTTACTGATTAAGCAGTTGCAGATTCAACGAACTGCCGAAATAGGCACACAGGCCGAAACGCGCGGTTCTTAAATTTCTACCTAGCAACCTCCACGCTCGCGATTCAAGAAGCACACATACAATCTCGTTTCCCTTCTATTTAAACTCAACTTACTCCTGCTAAAATTTGAATACTCTGTGCGTTCTACTACAATTTACATACTCTGGCATTGGCAATTCTAGGGGAAAGTAAAGGCTTGACAGGAAAGATAGCTTAAAGTTAAATTAATGTTAGTTAAAATAAATATAAACCCTCAAGTTACATAATTGATCTCCGAGCTGGTTCCACCCGGATCTTCTTTCTATATCAATTGAAAACCGAGAAGCACAAATGAAAGACTCAGCGTCCTCTGAAAATTATTATGACCCCATCAACGCCTGTTTTAGTGAGTGGCTGAAACTTTCAAGTAATTAAGACACAATAACACGCCGAATAAATACTGATTCAGAAGTCAAACAACAAAAATCAGCGTTAATTCACAAAATTTTCACAGGACTAGTTTCGATGGTTTTACCGAACCATCATCTTCAGCTGCAAAACCGCAAATGAACAAGATAGGAAATAATGTTTAGACAAGATAAGAAAGCCTGGACAAGAATAAGCAAGTGGCGCCATCTCTTGGCGAAACCAGAACTAAAACATAATTTCTCTAAAAGCCGAAGGCAAATTTGGATTGGAATTAGGATCGTTAACTAGAACAGAAAGATTTTTATGAATGTGAAATGCCTCTAGAAAATCCAGTTCTCCAATGGAAGATGTTTTTTTGAATAATTTTGGCAGCAGAAAAATTGAAAGTGTGATTTTCGGACCAACAATGTTGAGCAACAGAAGACTTCTGTGTTTCCTTTTTTCTAACATATGCCTCATGTTCTTTGACCCGAAATTTTAAGGCTCTCTTAGTTTGGCCAATGTAAATTAAACCGCACTGGCAAGGAATCCTATAAATACCCCAGGAATTCATATCCGGAATGGGGTCCTTGAGTATAGAAGTTGGAATTTTATTGATGGGAGAGTAAACAACCCGAAAGTTAAATTTCTGCAAAATATGTGCAACTTTATAGCTAATTGATGGAAAGAAGGGAATGACAACAGAATTTTTATAATCTCCTAAAATAAGAGTGTGGCTTTTAGTGTGTTGAGATGAGAATTTTTTAACTGCTTGATTAATAATGTTGGGTGAAAAGCCCCTGTCAATAGCTATTGCTTTTAAATAATTTTAGTTCTTCATCAAGGGCTAGTTTGGAGGAGCAAACTTGAAGAGCACGGAAAACATAGGAATAAAATGAAGCTAACTTTTGTTTAGTCGGATGACATGATTTAAAGTGTGGTGGAAGGCAAACCGATGAAGGTTTACGGTAAACTGTAGTACTGAAGTTGGATGTGTTACGTGTGACCAGAATGTCGAGAAACGGAAGAGAATTGCAAGTCTCAAGTTCAAAAGTGAACTGAATAGCAGGATCAATAGAATTCATTGTTGAAAGAACTCTATTTAAATCATCTTTATTACCTTCAAACAGGGTAAAAATATCGTCTACGTAGCGGAACCATGCCGGGAATTTTAAAGTTTCAAACAATTTTGATTCATAATAATGCATGTAGAAATGTAAAAAATTGATGCCCAATTTTATTCAAATCAAATCTAATCAAAAACCTTCGAGTCGCGTTTCAAGAATTCTGTTAAATTGCAAACTTGCCTTACCTCGGTCCGTGATAAGGGATACACGTCAACAATTGTCCAAAATTGAACATGAACTCTATAAGCTTCATCTGGAACTCGCTAAAACATATCCAAAATTCACTGCCCTTGAACAAAAGTCTTGGTCTAGAACGGAGAATGCAGTTAACCGTCATAAAAACACCCTTGCAGTTAAATTCGAAAAAACTTCTTTTACAGTCTTCCAGTTCAAGTAGTTCAAAAAAATCTTCCCATTGTAAACATCAAGCCAATAGTTAATATTTCTAATGTTAGTCTATCAGAAGAACAAGAGAGAATTCTAAAATATAATTTTAACTTCTCACAAACCTGTAAACCCTCGATTCCAAAGATTTTGGCTCCTATCGAAAAAGCTTTCAAGTTCAGTAAAGTTTCAGATTCACAGAAAATATGATTAGGCATCTTATCGCTCATAATGTGAAATTCAATAATAAACCTTTGAAACCAAATCTAACTGCGAGTGAAAGAGCTACAATGCGCGAGATTCATTCTAACCCGGATATTGTCATTTCAAAGGCCGACAAAGGTGGCCAGATAGTCGTCATGGATAAGAACACTTACATCGATGGTGTCACTAAACTCTTAAACGAAGGACCATATAATCCGATCCCTAAAGATCCTTCACCTTCGGACTTATCCAAAATAAAAAACTGCGATCAAATCTTCGCAAATCATTTCAAGCAACTTAAAACATTCGCTTATCCCATCTGTTGCGAATTGTGCCAGATTATATGCTCTTCCCAAAATTCATAAAAGTGGTATTCCTTTCCGCCCTATTGTATCAAATTTAGGTACTGCCTCGTATCCATTAGCTAAATATTTAGTTTCTAGATTTTCCACTCTATTAGACAATAACATTTACACACCAAAAAATTCAATAGAGTTTGTAAAAAAAGGTTTAAAAACATTTCTCCTCGTAATTTACTCATGGTTTCTTTTGATGTAAAATCATTATTCACCAATGTCCCAGTGGAGGGTACATTAAGATGTCTAGAAACCAGACTTCGCGAATTTCATTTCTCTTGCATCGAAATTGATGAGCTAATTTCTCTCACTCAACTCTGTTTGAAACAAACACATTTTGTTTTCCAAAATAAATATTACAAGCAAACCGAGTTATTAGCCATGGGAAGCCCCCTCAGTCCCATCCTGGCTGATATCTACATGCATTATTATGAATCAAAATTGTTTGAAACTTTAAACTTCCCGGCATGGTTCCGCTACGTAGACATACTTTTAACCCTGTTTGAAGGTAATAAAGATGATTTAAATAAGAGTTCTTTCAACAATGAATTCTATTGATCCTGCTATTCAGTTCACTTTTGAACTTGAGACTTGCAATTCTCTTCCGTTTCTCGACATTCTGGTCACACGTAACACATCCAACTTCAGTACTACAGTTTACCGTAAACCTTCATCGGTTTGCCTTCCACCACACTTTAAATCATGTCATCCGACTAAACAAAAGTTAGCTTCATTTTATTCCTATGTTTTCCGTGCTCTTCAAGTTTGCTCCTCCAAACTAGCCCTTGATGAAGAACTAAATTATTTAAAAGCAATAGCTATTGACAGGGGCTTTTCAACCCAACATTATTAATCAAGCAGTTAAAAAATTCTCATCTCAACACACTAAAAGCCACACTCTTATTTTAGGAGATTATAAAAATTCTGTTGTCATTCCCTTCTTTCCATCAATTAGCTATAAAGTTG